ATATACATTTTATCAATTCAAAAATAAAACTTTATTATTTATTCAAACATTAGCAAAATTAATATCATTCCATTTTTTGTATTGCGTTCTATTTTTGTATTGCATTTTACTATTATACTATTAAAAATGGTTAGAGCAAATAAAAGTGCCAAGTGTTTTAGGTTTACTCTTAAACAAAAGAGAAATTGGTCAGTCTGCGAAAAATTAATAGTTTGCATTTTTTAAATGGTTCAAATAGTGTTCATGCTACTGCAAGACATTTTGATTTACAACCAAATCAAGTTCGTGACTGGAGGAATAAAAAAGATCAACTTAAAGCCTCTGCACCTCATTTATTGAAATTACACAGTGGGTAGACAAGCATCTTTTTTGGAATTAGAAAATGAGTTAGCAAATTGGATTTTGAAATGTAGAGAACAAGGTCTTTCAATTACCAGAAATATGGTGACAAAGAAAGCCAAAGAACTTGCACAAACTGATAAATATCAAGAAAAATATCCTAATATTTCTTCCTTTAAATTTTCAAATAAATGGATAGATTGTTTTATGAATTATTATGATCTTTCAAATTGTCGAAGAATAACAGTATCTTAGCATTTATCAGAAGATTTACTTGAAAAGCAACAAAGTTTTTTGAGTTTTGTCTTTTATAGAAAAATACAATATGATTACCCACTTCAATTTATTGAAAATATGGATGAGACTCCTGTAGCTTTTGATTTACCTAATTCATATACTTTAGAAAAACGCAGTTCTAATACTATTAATATCAAAACTACTGGATATAAAAGAAGTATATTTACAGTTGTTTTGGGTTGTATGGCAGATGGATCAAAATTACTACCTGTTGTTATTTTTAAATTAAAGAATATATCTCGAGAAACATTTCCTAATGGTATATTTGTAAGAGTAAATGCAAAAGGATGGGTTAATGAAGATGAAATGATTTAATAGGTAGAAAATGTCTGGTCTAAAAGAACTGTTGATTTATCTAATCCCAGTTCACTTCTTGTCTTAGATTCTTTTCGTGATCATTTAGTTAGCTCTGTTAAACAAAATTACATGAAAAAGTAACTAATATAGCAGTAATTCCTGATGGATTAACATCAAAATTGCAATCTCTTGATATATCAATTAATAAAAGTTTTAAATCTAATGTAAGTATAATTAATTAATTTTTTATTATTTTTGTATTTATTATTCTATAAATTAAAAGGATTTTTAATTTAATAGATTCACGAACTTTATAATAATTGGATGACAAATGAAGTTTATGAATTAACTCTATCTGGACGTATTAAAAAACCTTCATATTCTTTAGTATGTTTCATGAGTAAAAGATGCATGAGAAAAAATTGATACAAATTTAATTCATAGATCGTTCAAATGTTGTGGCATTTCAGTTAAAACTGATGATTCTGAAGATGATATGATTTTTGACTATAATAGTCTTATAGTAGATAAAGAAAATAAGAAAAATGATGAGTTAATTGGAGATAACAAATTTAGAGAGAAAGAATTTAGAGAGAAGGATTACAATAATTGGAATGATATTAATTTTGCTAATGTTTGAATAAATAATAAAGTTTTATTTTTGAATTGATAAAATGTATATTTGATAAATAAATATCGTAACAGTATATTAATCACATGATTTATTTAATTTTACGAATATTTTTCGACTAAAAAAAAAACCCTTATTTAAACCACCCGGGTCTTTTATAAAATTTCGACCCAAAACCTTAGAAGGGTATTTTGCATAGGGTGGTGGTTTAGTCAACGCTCTACGATAACTGAATTTCAATTTGTATAATAAATAGACACACTGTATAAATAATTTAAATTTTATATTTATATAATTTATTTATTTTTTAACGTCTAAAATGATACTTTTATAAATAAAATTTTTAATACAAAATAAATTTTTTATTTATATGTAATACATATTTTAAAAAAATAAATTTTCGTTAATAAATGTAAAGTCCTTATAATATTTAATGTAATAAAATATAAATTTTTTTATTATTTTGATATATTATTAATTAATAATTTCTTAAACATCAATTTTTATAAAAAAAAATGCTAAAAAAAAATTCCTTATAAAATATAAGGAAATTTAATACAGAATTTCAAAAAATGTATACAAAATATATTTAAAATGTATGCAAATTTTTTATAGAATATGCTTATATATATATATCTATATAACGCTTTATCTTGCAAATTGACAAATTATTACTATTTCAACAGAAGCTAATGTAAATCATTTGCAACCCTTAATATCGTTCAATGAAATTTAACTTACAATGAAATTTAAGAAGAAAAATATAAATATGACTTACTATTTCAATTACTTCAGCTAAAGCTCTTTTTTGAGTTAAAAATTCTGATTGAAGAGAAATAATTTTATGCTCACAACAATTTATATGATTAATATCATCTATTTTTTCACGACATAATTTATATTCACCTACAATATTTTTTTCTATAATCCTCGTTCTATTAAAATTTGTTTAATATCTTTTGATTGATTATCATCAAAATTTATTTTTTGAAGTTAATTATTAGACCCATCTTGTATCTCTCATTTTTGAAACATTTTTACTATCTGAACTAATATTTATTTTATTTACTACAAGAGTATCTGACATAAATGCCATGTGATTTGAACTATTATCAAACATAAAAACTCTAATACATCCTGAAAATATTGTTTCAAAAATTGGAATTGCCTTTAATTCAACTTGTTCTACTAAATTTTAGCTTGTTCAATATTTATCTTTATTTTTTTCTGGTTTTAAAATTACACATATTTTTTTTGAAATTGTTAGATTTAAAGAAATTGTATCTGATGTTAAATAAAAAGGTTCTCTAGCTTCAGTTAAAACTTATTAATCATGATTGATTTTCTATTTTCCTTTTTACGTAATGGTAATTGTCTATCTTGAGCCCAAATTCCTCTTTTTCTATCATTAGAATAAAATATACTTTCATCATGAACAATTAAAATATATTCATATTCATTTTCTTTTAATTGTGATAAAATCTGATGAATATCTTCTCCTTTATAAGTAGTTATAAATTTTCATATTTTGTCATCTGTTCAAGAAATAATTTTTGATATTGAATAACGTTATCTTGCTTATGATCATCATAATAAATCCCCTGCTTATGCATTTGGTAATTATATCCTAAAATATTAAGCCAATGTTGTACAGTTGAAATAGAAATAGTTTTTTTTTTATAATATTAAAACTAGAAATTAATTCTTCTTCAATAAAACTTTTAAATATATGTGAAGTTACATTATCACCTTGATTTCTAATCCATTGATAACATTTTTTTACAACATCTTCATCATCTATTAATCTTATTATTTTTTGATGCTGACCTTATAAAGAAATTGATAATTTATTATATTTAACCATCCTTTCTAATTTTTTGAAGTTTATAAGAATCATAAGTAAAATACATCATTTTTGCTACCTCTTTACTCGCTACTATTTTTTTAACTCCATTTATTTCGATTTTCATTAAATATTCATAAACTACATGCTTTCTATTATATTCAATAGCTGATATTTGCTTGTATTTTAATTCAAGCTCCATTTTCAAATTTTTCAATCATTGACTAATATCCTCTGTTAATATTTCTGATGTTGATATTGTAGTTGAGTTAAAAAATGAGTAATTTTTGATGTCTCTTTAGATGCCTTAGTCCATGTATCACTTGAATCATACTTATCATAAAGATTGATTTTGGTGTTTTTTTAGTTAGGTAAGAACCATGATATTTTTTTTCTAAATGTGTATTTTGTTTCCAACTTAAACCTATTTCTAATAATCAATTTTTAATCTTCTCTTCTATCTTAACATTACTTTCTGATTCCCAACCACTATCTTCTTTATCACCCCATAGGTCCTTATCATCTTCAAATATATTTAACATTTTTTCATCACCTTCACCTCCAGGTTTATTTAATATCTCTTTTTCATTACCATCTTTAGATTTATTTAACATTCCTTCTTCACTACCTTCAAGTTCATGTAGCATTTCTTCAAGTATTTCTTTATCAGTTCTTAAGGTAAACTCTCCACCTTTTTTACGCGCATGTTGCTTTGCAGCACGTTTTGCTTTACTTAAGGGTGGCATTGTAATATTACAATCAAATAAAATCTAAAGTAAGAACCTACATTATGATTCTTGTAAAACCATTTTTTTAAAAACTTTTTTTTCCCCTCATTAAAACCTATTTTTCTGTTAAATTCCAAAAAATGAGAATTCCGTTAAATTTTAAAAACAATATATCTGATTTTAAAATGAGGCCATTCAAATTTTTTCAGAAAATTTATGTAAAATAAGTTGATAACTAACTGAAAAATAAAATAAAGTTTCATTCTTTTATTTCTGAAGAATATTAAGAGAATATGATGCCCAGTGTAATGTTATCGTCAAGTTTGTTAAGTTTATGTATGATCGTAATGCAACTTCCTTTCTGGGTAAATTTAGAATTATCATGAAATTCACGGAAAAATAGTCTGAAATTTTAACTTTATTAGTGAAAATAGCAATTTTTGAAGCATTATAATTCAATATTTTATTAATAAAAATAATATTATATTGTTATTCTAATATTATTAAAAAAATTATAAAATTTAAGAAATTTACCAAAAATTTTGATGGATCATCATATTAGAATTAACAATTGGGTTTGAATTATAAAATAAAAAATAATTTTGATTTCTTCTTACTATTACACGATATTAAAAAACAAAGGTAAAATATCTAATTTCAGAATTTCATCCAATAAATTAATATAATTAATATTATATATATATAAATAGCATACTATTCGACAAGGAATTTTCTAAATAAATTCGTTTAATTTTAAATATAGGTTTACTTTAAATTTAAATAACTTTAATAAATAATCTGATGTGAAAATCAAACTAGAGCGGTGACAAGAAAAGCTCGTTTAATATATAAATTTTAATATATAAATTGTTTTTATTTTTTTTTACATTGGGCCTTTTCAAATTGACAATAAAATAATATAGGTTACAGTATGTGTTATATGTGTTCTATTTTGTGTTCTATTTTTTGTTCAAGCTAAATTATTTTTTTATTATTATTATATATACAAGTTTTATTATATGCCAAATCATACAATACAATTCAATCATTTGCTCATATTTGATCTATATAATTATTAATGTGTGAATAAATTTACTCGGCAATCAACCCCATCAATCCCTTCTTATGTACGTTCAATATCTTGAGCGCTAAAAAACCTCCAAATAAATCACTTTTATTTTCGATCGTTATTACAATTTCATCATTTTTATAAGTTTCATCTAGGCGTTTGTAACAAACAGAAAAATATGAGATCCAATGATTCTACACTTATCGTGTTTTTCCTTCACAAGTCCTTTTGCTAACATAATTGGCTCATATCCATCTATCAATTTTTTACGACTAATCACCAATTGTTTATCTTGAATGAGGATGGGTGGATTGGTAAGTAAGAATGAATCCGCAAATTTGGCTCCCTGGAGATTGTGATAAGCAATACATTTTGATGACTGATTCCTAACAAAATCTTTTCAATTCTTTTGATCAATCTTCTTATTTGTTGATTGGACAAGAAATTTAGGCTTAAATTTAAGGGATATATCTTTCTGATTTTTACGCAATGGGATAAGTTAAGAGAGCATACATTTGTATGGATCAATAGATCCTATTTCAATTGCTCTTTAGTAAATTGCCCATAATCGGAACATTATCATCGAAATTATCAAATGTTAATTTTGATCTGGAGATAATGCATTGCTCAAAGTATCGAGAATCTTGATTTGTGGAATTTTGGAAGTGTTACAACTAGAAAAAATCTCATAGAGAGTAAGAAAGGAGAGCTTTATCTTCTTTTTATGATTTCCTTCTAGGAAAATAAGCTCATCTTTCTCCAAATCCTGTAGATTATAAAAATTAGATTTACATATACAAAGCACTAAATTTTAAGATTATAAGTATACTTACTTCAACTTTACGCTGTTTATTACCAAATGTAGTTGACCGATTAACAGGCCACTCAAATATGGTGTAAGCTGTTAAAATAGGAATAAGTTCAAGATTTTCATTCTCCATAAAAATTTCAAAGTACCGGGAATACTTTATACTGATTTGTTTTTTCAATGCATCAAGAAGTCTTTGGCAAGATTCCGTTTCATATTGACAATTTTGAAGGAAGTATCGTAATCCGCTTTGATAAAATTTCATCCTATACGTAGATTCATCACACTCAACGGCTGTACCAATGATATCCATTTGAAATATCATGACTTCTAGAAAATGACCGACAACACCTAGAAGTTCGATTATATACTCCAGATGGGTGGAAATCTTATTGATCCTGCCGATAACAGATGTAGCAATATAGTAAGTAATGTTAACGAAATACATTAACAGCTAAAACTACTCACCTTTTTGTCTTATCATTCTAACAAAAATATTAAGTAAAATTAACTTAGTATTATTAGAAGATCAACTAATGACGAAACTTAACAATAATAATTATAACTTACCACTCTCCAGTTAGCAAGATCTAATATAACTTCTTTAGCATGTTCAGTTTTCAACAGTGGTAAAGCTATGTCTTCAATTTTCGCGTTTGATGATTCTATTACATCAAATAATGCATTTGCGTGTGTTCCAGTTAGCACAATAAAAAGAAAATAACCATTTGATATGACTCTTGCAAGAGCCTGGAGAACTGTCCTGAGCCATCCGGTACGTCCATTCCTGAATAGTATATTTGTCTCATCAATGTTAATTATAAAAAGGGGTTTATTGTCTTTTTTGTTATCTGAGAAGTAATCTAAGATTACATCAATAATTTGATCGAATTCAATCATACGAATTCCAAGTATATTTTTAAATTTTATAAATGTGATATCGATACTGCAAGAGTGGTTTAAAGTGATTAAGTAG